GGTATTAATTCTACTGAGAGAAAACCTTGAGATGGGAGGCCTTGCAAGGTAGTAACAAGAATTGGTGGATTGAAGCAGCATTGTTGGTGACCTTGATCAATCTTTGATCAAGGGTTTGAAGGTGGTAGAATCAACAATAAACCATAGAGTTTATAGGGTTAGAGTTCTTTATCTCTTGTATATACATTGTTTGCAAAGTAAGATTAATTGTAACTATCTCAATTCAAATTCGAATTGAGGGCAGACATACCCAAATATATATATATATATATATATATATATATATATATATATATATATATATATATATATATATATATATATATATATATATATATATATATATATATATATATATATATATATATATATATATATATATATATATATATATATATATATATATATATATATATATATATATATATATATATATATATATATATATATATATATATATATATAAAATTTTTGTTTTTACAAATTATCAAATCTTTCTTGTTTTGATCATTTCGTTTAGGAATCAACATTTTTATTACGTTTTGAATTACGGTTTGTTGATATAATCATAATCACTTTTATTGTGATTGGCTTTAATATCAACAAAACAAATTAAATTTTCAAACGTTATCGATTGCATACAAGGTGTTCGATAAATTGTCTCTATATATTACTTTTAATTGATTTTTGATCATTGAAAATAAGCTATACGAGTAACTTAGCATTTAATTGATTTGTGATTAATTGTTGTTGAACAATTTGTGTTCATTATCATTCAATTGTGTAACTTTACGCATATTCGAACTTTTAAATAATAGGTTCAGTTAGACTATTTGATTCAAGCTATTTTTGTTGTGACATAAAACTTTTGAAAATCATTTTTGCCAAAATTTATTTTTAAATTTGTGATATATTGACTCTCTAAAATCGATTGACTCCCTCTAAATTGAAATTTATCGTCTAAATTAAAATCTATTGACACGACTATCTTATCCAATGTCCCATATATTACTTTGGTTCGGAAAAATCAATTAGTTTTTTGGAAGCACATTTATGAAAATAATGTAATTTGTATTCATCAACAACGTAATACTTAGGGATGGGGGGGGGGGGGGGGGGGGGAGGGGACCTGAATCCCAAATAAGTCCCCGTTCCCCGCCCTGAACCCCAGCGGAGATGAATAATTGAACCCCAACCCTGTCCCAAATGGGTTCGGGGATTCTCGCCCCGCCCCCAAACCCAAATCCTGCCTTAAACCCAAAATTTTGCCCCGAACCCGAATTTCGCCCCAAACCCAAAACCTGTCCCAATCTTAAGAAATATTAACTTGTATTACAAAAATAAAATATAATCTCGAAAAATTTCAAACATATATTTCGAATTATAAAATACAAATGAAAGTATTAATTCATTAATCATACAATTAATATTTCAAATTAGCAAAACCAAATAATACAAAATATAAAAACTAAATAATAAAATACAAATTGATATTACAAACTACCATCTAAACAAACACATAGTAAAAAATATTCTACATTCCAAAATACCAACAAAACAACCACATAACTAAAAATATTTAACATCATTTATCAATGGAAATTGCTAGTCAAAAATAGATAAGTGGCCAACACCAATATTGTCTTCTTTCTTTCTCTGCATGTTATTCTCCATCTTCAAAGAGGAAAATAACACCACTAGTCAATATTTCAAACTACCATCCGAACAAACGCATAGTAAAAAAATATTCTACATTCCAAAATACCAATAAAACAACCACATAACTAAAAATACTCACATCGTAATCAACGGAAATTGCTAACAAAAATAGATAAGTGGCAAACATCAATATTATCTTCTTTCTTTCTCGAAATGCTATTCTTCATCTTCAAAGAGGGAAATAACACCACTAGTCAATATTTACCTATATAGAAAATACACATTAAAATAAAAACATTAATAATAAATAAGAATAAAAAGTTACTCTTGTATTCTAATAACAAATTGATTACTAACAAGTCAATTGGTTGGATGGATAATTGGATACTTCATACTCCGCACTAGTGTGTGAAGTGGGGGGGACCTGAATCCCAAATAAATCCCCGTTCCCCGCCCTGAACCCCAGCGGAGATGAATAATTGAATCTCAACCCTGTCCCAAATAGGTTCGGGGATTCTCGCCCCGCCCCCAAACCCAAATCCTGCCTCAAACCCAAATTTTTGCCCCAAACCCAAATTTCGCCCCAAACCCAAAACCTGTCCCAATCTTAAGAAATATTAACTTGTATTACAAAAATAAAATAAAATCTCGAAAAATTTCAAACATATATTTTGAATTATAAAATACAAATGAAAGTATTAATTCATTAATCATACAATTAATATTTCAAATTAGCAAAACCAAATAATACAAAATATAAAAACTAAATAATAAAATACAAATTGATATTACAAACTACCATCTAAACAAACACATAGTAAAAAATATTCTACATTCCAAAATACCAACAAAACAACCACATAACTAAAAATATTCAACATCATTTATCAATGGAAATTGCTAGTCAAAAATAGATAAGTGTTCAACACCAATATTGTCTTCTTTCTTTCTCTGCATGTTATTCTCCATCTTCAAAGAGGAAAATAACACCACTAGTCAATATTTCAAACTACCATCCGAACAAACGCATAGTAAAAAAATATTCTACATTCCAAAATACCAATAAAACAACCACATAACTAAAAATATTCACATCGTAATCAACGGAAATTGCTAACAAAAATAGATAAGTGGCAAACATCAATATTATCTTCTTTCTTTCTCGAAATGCTATTCTTCATCTTCAAAGAGGGAAATAACACCACTAGTCAATATTTACCTATATAGAAAATATACATTAAAATAAAAACATTAATAATAAATAAGAATAAAAAGTTACTCTTGTATTCTAATAACAAATTGATTACTAACAAGTCAATTGGTTGGATGGATAATTGGATACTTCACACTCCGCACTAGAAATTAGTAATAAATAAATCGTTTCACACTTCATAATAAAAATTGAAAAATATGTGTTTCACACTCCATATTAGAAATTAATAATAAATAAATCGAAGGAAAATTTTACCTTCTTCATCGGGCTCTATTTCATCGAGCAAAGTAGTGTAGTCATTGCTTAACTTAGAACTCATACCACCTAAAAATATTAAACAAAATACAATATAATTAGCAATCAATTAACAAATACAAAATTATATGTCATTTCATAATATATAAAAAGTGACAGAATAATATAAAAGCATACCACTATTTTCAATACTCCATAACTAGCTTCTAGCACACATCAAAACCTCTAAAGTTGTCCAATGAAGTCGATTGTGATGCGGGCTTAAAATATGACCGCTAGTACTGAATGCGGATTCTAAAGCTACTGTAGAAATAGGAATTGCTAAAATATCTTTTGCAATTGCTTGGAGTGTTGGATATGTGATGCCATTTAACTTCCACCACAATAGAATATCAAAATCAGAACTTCGCGGTAAAACTTCCTCTTCTAAATAACGATCCAATTTTGTTTTGACATATGAAGTTCTTGCTCTTTTCTTCTTTCGAACATATGCATCATAATCATCTAAACCATCATTAGCCACACGACTAGACTCCAACACTGGTGAGTCACCACAATTCTCTTGGTTCAACTTCAATTGATAATCAGCAACTAAGTCATAACATAGTTGTTGAATCCTCTTAACTTGCTCAAAAGAGTCTTGTTCATACAATTTTTCATAATAGTATTCAAGTAACTCCATTTTGTATCTAGGATCCAAAACACTAGCAATTCCCATTATATCATGGGTGATACTCCAATATTTATCAAATTTTTGCAACATCTTTTTAGCCATTTCTTTGATCGATAAATTGGAAGAGTTAACCCAATCAGATATTGCCAATTTAATCTTACAAATCTCAAGAAAAAACATGTTAGTCGTGGGATACTTAGTTCCAGAAATGATTTCAGTGGTTTTATTGAACAACTCCAATCTTTCACAAATATCTTTTGCAAATTTCCATTGTGAACTAGTTGGAACACAAATGTATCGAGTGTCACGTAGCCTTAACCAGCTAAATACATCCTCATACAAAATAGCAATGTCAAGCATTTTATAAGTGGAGTTCCATCTAGTTGGACAATCTAAACTTAAAGTTTTAGTGCAAGAAATTCGCAATTGCTTAGTTGTCTCCTCAAATTTTTCTTTTCTTTTAGGAGTTGTTGTCCAATAAGGTACATTATCCCGAATATTTTCTACTTCATCTTTCACTACTTCTAAACCATCATTTACTATCAAATTTAATATGTGTGCGCAACAACGCATATGAAGTAAAGATCCATCCCTCAACAAAGTACTTAAATGCAACTTCTCCTTAATTGTGTCCATCACAGCATCATTTGTGCTACAATTATCTAAAGTGATAGTTGACAATTTTGTATCGATATTCCAGTCCATTAAACACTTAACTAAAGCAGCACAAAGTCTATCACTTGAATGAGGAGCAGGAATATAAATGAACCTAGCATATAATAAAATTCAAATATGAAATAAATGAAGCTAACATATTATATTTATGCTTAAACTAGACATAACAAATTGTAATTACCTCAAGATGCAACTCTGCAAATTCCAAGATCCATCAATATAATATAATGTGCAGTAACAACCATATACCCTTTTTTTTATTACTTGAAGTCCACATGTCTGAAGTAATCACCACTCTTGCTTGAAGACTATCTAATAACTTTGAAGTTATTGTCTTCTCAAACTCGTACACTTTAAATATCTCCTTCCTGATAGTATTTCTACAAGGAACATGAAAAAATGGTTATAGAGAAGCAACAAATCTTCGAAAACCAATATGATCTACAATTGAAAGTGGATACTCATGCATAATTATTGCACGTGCAAGCTCTTTCCTTGATTTTTCAACATTATAAGTACCAACTTCTAATTCTTGCTTTCCTTGCAAGCTCTTTGGCATGAGAAATGTCTGTCCTTTTGTAGTCTTGTTCTCATGAATTTTGCGATGAATGCATGTCTCCATATGTTGAAGCAAGTGTTTTGTTCCATTGCTCGATTTTTACCAAGAAATTTCTTGCAATATTTACATTGAGCCTTATCCTCGCCATTAACTTTCACCTTTGCAAAATGATCCCAAGCCTTACTCCTAAACCTTCCTTTCTTTGTTTCTGCCAATGCCTCTATATTATCACATGTATCCATTTTATCAGTTGTCTCATCATTAGGTGTTTCAACTGTTTCCTTCGATGGTGTCAGGCCATTAAGCGAAGAGTTGAAACTTTCTTCCATAGCGGGAGCTACTTGGTGTGCACTATCTTGTGAAATAAGTGGGTTAACATTACCAACATTTTCCATGTTTATCTCCTATTGAGTTGTTCAAATTAAAAAACTAATTAAATACAATTTATATCAACAATAACTCATTAAGCAAACAAGTTACCATTTTAAACTACAAATTAAACCATTAGTTACATAAAACAAATAATTTACACTAGAGAATGTCATTTGAATATACTAAATAGTAAATACTTGGATAAATAATTAAACCAAACCATAAAAGCATAGTCACTATATTTAAAAAAAAGCATAGTCATTAAATTTTTAAAAAATTAGAACAGCAACATAGTCATTATTATTCATTTGTTTTTAAACCAAACCAGGTCCCTTTCCATAGACGATAGAATGACTCTATGGCTCAACACCAAAAAAAAAAAAAGAATGACTCTATGGCTAATTGGTTATATGAACCTCTTATGTTTATCTAAAATATAAATGAAGCAGTTTAATTTATTAAAAAAAGACAAACAACTTTTCTTCTCCAAAAAAATAAGAAACAAAATGGTTGAGATTGAAATTATAAGAATAAGAATAGTGATATAGATATAAATATTTGTTAACTCATTGAATGGTTACACACATAAAAGTTAATGATATCTCAACTCTTAATAGGTACATACGCCCATGGCCTTTCATTAATAATTTTGTTGTTAGTATGGAAAATTCATACATATATTTCTAATACAGATTTAAACTTTTAAACACTCTAATAAAAAAACTAAGAGAATATAGTGCTTACAACAATCACATTCTTCTACAAACACAATAAAGTTTTAAGATTTAGAAGTAAAAATAAGAGACTAAAACTTACAGCAAACTTTTAAACACTCTAATAGAAAAACTAAGAGAATATAGTGCTTACAACAATCACATTCTTCTACAAACACAATAAAATTTTAAGATTTAGAAGTAAAAATAAGAGATTAAAACTTACAGCAAAAATAATTTTGATGAGGATGCCAAGATGGTTATGTCGTTTAGATGGTGATGTCAACAATGTTTTAAGATGTTGATAAGGAAAAGGAAAGTTCAATGATAGTGAGAGTATTGGAATATTGGAAGAGACATTACTGAACCATTAAAGTTTATTTTTGGAATGTTAAAAGTCTATTAACTTTTGTTTTTTTAATAAAAGTCTATTAATTTTAATTAATATAGCCAACCGTAAATGTATGTTATGCAATGGTTCAACTTCAATTTTTAAATTAACCATTGTATATATCTAATTGATAATCAGCAACTAATCAACGAGAAGTGGAAGAGTTAAAAATATAATGTATGATTTTATAAAAAATATTATGATTTTTTTAAATAATAATAATAATAAACGGGGCGGGTTCGGGGTGGATACTACAGTCCCCATTACCCACCCCGTCCCCATATTTAAAAATTGGGAAAAATCCAAACCCGAACCTAAACTCAGGCAAAGTAGATTTTCTCCGTCAAATTCGGGGCGCATACCCGCGGATATGAATTATATTGCCATGTCTAGTAATACTGTTAAACACCTTCATCCAATCAAGTTACTATACCACCTTTTAATTTATTTTTTAAAATATATTTATAATATCTATTTAATATCATTTAATTAGATATTTAGATGTGTATAAAAAATTACACCACTTATATACAAAAATTCATCATTTAATAAAAATAAAAACGATACTACGATATCATCGTCATATATGGAGATGAAAGTTTTAAAAACAAAACAGAAACATCAAAAGCACCGCCGTTATTACTATATGCAAAATTTTGTTGCATAGTTGCATAGAAAATGTAAAAATATATAGAGATCAATCCCACTTCACTTGCATTAACCTAACCTCTTCTTCCTCTTACACCATGGCTCCAAAATTGTGGGATGTTCTATCTGAAACAAAACGCACAATAGATACTCAGCCTCGTCATTACTTCAATCTCTCCCTAATCTTCATCTTACCCCCCTTTTTCGTCTCCTTTCTCGTCAGCTTCCTTGTCAAACACTTCCAACAACAACCACAACCACAACCAGAATCCACCTACCCCGCCTTACTCTTCACCCTAGTTTCTATCTTCTTCCTCCTTATCTCTGCCATCTTCACCTTCTGTGCCTTTATCTCCATCACTTACAGCGTCTACCACTCTTATTTTAATCAACCCATCAAACTCAAAGAAGCCATCAAATCCATCTCCACTTCCTTCTTCCCGTTACTCGCCACAGACATCATCGTTTTCACCATCTTATTCTTCGGATCTTTTCTACTTGCACTTGTCATTGGAGTTGTAACGTTTCTCATCACTTATCTAGGCGGTGTTGACCTCCAAGCTCACTCTTACTTGGTTGTGGTTTTATCAGTGCTTGTTGTTCTCCCTCTTGTGATGTATTTGATAATTAACTTGAGCTTGGTGAAAGTTATTGTGGTGGTGGAATCAGTTTGGGGTTTTGAACCATTGAGAAGAAGTTGGAAATTGGTGAAAGGAATGAAGAGGTTGATTATGTCAATCTCTTGCTTGTTTGGGTCATTACAGTTGATGTTGGTGTGGATAAGTGGTTATAGCTGGGTACTGGTTTTAGTGATTTATCCAATACTTGCTATGCTTTCGCTTTACAGTATTGCGGCTCTTACGGTGTTGTACATTTACTGCAAGGAGAAACATGAGAAGCTAGCATATGAAGAATTTGGGAAGGAAAAGGACGAGGCTAGATTGTCTCTAATTCCATCATAGAATTGGTCATATTGTGCGGAATATACTTGTATTGTATGGTCATTGTAATCAATAAATAAGGTTTAGATTTGTACGGTGCAGTAATTATGAGAATTTTCTCTATAATAGTGTTGTTTATGGATTTTGAAAATAGTCACATAAGTTATAAGAAAAATTGCATAACGGTTTGTTCTCTTTAAAATATTTTGTGGTACTGTTTAAAATTATGTAAAGCAGGCAAACAATCGTGCCGCATTCAGGACAAAATAACTTAGTTTTATATTGTACAACTACTACTTGTACGGTAGATAATCGATTTAAAAATACACACACTGATGGTACAAACACCATTTGAATATAGTATTAATATCACTCTAAAAAAATTCAATAATGATCATTTGACCACTCAATAATTTTTCAATGATTAGAAAGAAAGAAGGAGAAGTTGACGCTTCAACAATTCAAAAAATGCGGAGTTATGAGAGTGAGGAAGGAAAAACTCAACAAAAAGAGTTTTTGATGTATTTTGGAATGAAACAAAGAACTTCCTTATATAATAAAGTGAGCTAGCCATAATATCTCACCTAAGAAATGTAGGACTAATGAGTTTTTTCAACTAAAACATAATGTGGGACTTAAGGAACTTTTTCAAACTCATCTCCCTATATTTTAATATTGACATAATGTTACAACAATCCCCCACTTGAATTTAGGGAAAAAAATTGTTTCAGAAGTAACGTCAAACATTTCTAAGATTGTGCTAAACAAAGGTGTCTACAACTTGAACCTTTGCGTAAAAAGTAGGATTCCGATTCAACAAGAGTGACACAATTGTCTTGAACTCTATCTAAGAAATCAAACTCACACACAACCTTTTCTTAAGTTGTATCCTAGTTTAGTGAGGCTCTAGGAACTCCGCCTTGAAATTCCATAGGAAACTGCCTAAGTTCCACAATCACATAGGTGAGTGTATCAAAAGTACTCTTATGACCTAGGTACTCCCTCATGCAGAGTATAAATCGCATTAAGAGTTTATATTATCTCATCCTCTTATCGCTTTAGAACTCATGCTTCTCTTATTTACTCTAGCATGATCACCTCATATTACTCAAAACTTGTTATTACTCGTTGAACCTATTTTTTTGGGATCTCAAGTCATTTAGGTCGGGTTACCGTCATGAGCAACTCATTTTTATAGGCATTACTCTCATCTTAATGGATGTATTATAAACCTTATCTCTATATAATCCTTTCGTCAAAGGGTCTGCTAAATTTTCATTAGTGTATATATGATTTACTCTTACAACTCTTTTAGAGATACAATGTCTAACAATGTTGTGTTTTCTTCTTATTTGACGTCACTTACCGTTATACTAACAGTTCTCAATTTTTGTAATAGTCGTGATACTATCACAGTAGATCAACACGGTTGTCACAAGTTTGTCCCATAAAGGGATCTCAACTAGCAAGCATATCTTAAATAACTTGCTTCTTCATTAGCAATCTCTAATGCTATCATATCAGACTCCATCATAAACTGAGCCAAAATAGTTTATTTCTTTGATTTCCAAGTGTGTATGTATCCAGATATTACGTTCAAAGTTGGGATGTTATGCAAATATTTAAGCAATCTAGAAATGGATCATTGGAAAGCAACCAAAAATGTTATGTGGTATTTAAAGAGAACAAAAGACTATATGCTCACATATAAGAGGTCAGACCAGTTAGAGATCACTAGATACTCTGACTCAGATTTTGCTGGATGCCAAGATAGTAAAAGATCCACTTCAGGCTATATATACATGTTGGTTGGTGGTGTCAGTGCTAAGCAAACTCTTACGGCTTCATCCACCATGACAGCAGAGTTTATAGCAAGTTATGAGGTATCCAACCATGAGATTTAGCTAAGGAATCTTGTCACTGAACTGCGAATTATGGAAGGAATTGAAAGGCCACTTAAGTTATATTGTGAGAACAAATTAGTCGTCCTGTATTCCAACTATAATAAGAGCTTAAACCAGTCAAAACACATTGACATCAAGTTCCTAGTTGTTAAGGAAAAGGTACAAAGTGGACAGATTTCCATAGAACACTTTGGAACAAACTCCGTGATAGCATATCCTCCTACAAAAGTTCTTCCACCCAAGGTCTTTCATGAGCAAACTGCTCACATGGGTGTTTTACCGTTAAAGGAGTTTTTGTTTCACTGGGAGTTAGTCGATTATGAATTTTATGTTATGTGTTAGGTATTATGTATGCATAATATTGTTTTGGATATTTTTTAATTAATAAAATTTGATATTTAGTATTTTACATTTTCTACAATAAAGTTATTGAAATATCTCACTAAAGTAAAGTAAGACCAGTTGAAAATCGACATATACAAACCAACTTCATGTGATTTTCATGCTTCACATTTCATGATGGATCTATCTCATTTATTTGTGTCACTATTGGTGATCATTTATGAGTTTAGTTATCATTGATATAATGAAAATCACCATGGTTATGTATATTGGCATGACTAATAGACGAGATACTTTGGATATGCTTAACGAATATAATGGCAAATTTTGATCTCATAAAGTCTAACACATGTGTAAAGTTATATATGTGACTAGTGGGAGATTGTTAGAATTTTTGGGTCACAAATGTAATATTGCAGTGTTAGAGCCATTATTTAATTAGGAAAATCTACATTGGTCTAATTAATATTAAGTATGTGGCTAAAAGCATAAATGTCATGAAATATGAGATTATTGTGTAGATACTATAAATCAATATCTAATTTGATGAGGGATCAAATTAGAATATTGAAAACTAAGAAATAACCCCAAGGTTATTTATAGGGGTTATGGTTCCCATTTGTAGACAACGTGAAAACGGCTCATCAGAAAAATTTTCTTCATCCCCATCAAAAGAGATTCAAGGAGTCATAAGAAAATTCTACAATTGAAAGATCAAATACCCACAAAACTTCAGTGATTCCCAATAACAAATTCATCTATTTACATGAATTATTTAAATGACTTTTTTTATTTAATTATTCATTATAAATTCTAAACCAATAGATTAGAAACATGAGAGATGACATAATATATAAAAAAGGAGAGGATTCAAATCCGGATTTAAAAGATACAAATTGATGATATATCAACTCATAAGTATAATTTTAGAGTTTTGTTATTAATTTCTATATCAAAAAAATTAATAAGGTTATGAGCCGATCTTACGCATTATCTTTTTTTAAATATTAAAATGATTAAATCCATCCAAAATAAAATACATATTTTCTTTTACGATTTAAATTTTAAGATTGTGTGTTCTATATCTTTTGAGGATGTAAAACATACTAAATTTATGCCTTTGAGTCAAACATTTTCCAATTTTCTTTGTTATTTAACATGTAACAACCACATCTAAAAATATGAAAATATAATATTTTGGTTTTCTATTTTTTCAAAGTTTATATAGAGTTTTATTAAAGATATCTTAAATTTAAAGACAATTCAAAATATATTATAATGGCTTCAGTCCATAATTGTTTTCAACATTCGTTTTAAATGAAATTCATCTAGCTACTTTTTTGTTGATTTAATTTTTTCTCTGAACAATTATATTTTGTTTAGAAGTTCTTGAGAAAGAAATATATGAGAAATGTCATTTTTATCAAAGAAATGTTTAAAAGATAAACTTTTAAATTCTTTCATATGATCACTTATAAAGATAATATATAAACTTGTTTAATAGTAAATCTTTTGCAAAAGTTTTTAAATGCTTCAAAAGAATCTTTTTATTTTAGAAATAAAATTGAAATAAACAAATAAAAATCATCAACTATCACAAAATCACATTTCCTTTCACTAAAATTTGCCGTTTTAACAAGACTAAAAAATCATTGTAAAGAGTTGAAGATATCAAATTGTAAAAATTGTATTTTTAGAATAGAAATTACTCTTAAATTAATTTTCTTTAATGCAGTCATCATATATTTTACCTTTATCAAAACTAATTTTACAAAGACCTTTAACAAGATCTAGACTGAACAATTTAAAAATAGACTTCATATTTATATAGTCAAGTCAACTAATGTATTCTAGATCCATTTATATTTTTCTATGGATACAAAAACATGATATAAAAAATATCTTAATTATCCACATAAAATATGTTAGGTTTGATCAAAACTCTATCACATGCTTGAAAATATGATCAAAATCCTATCACATGTTGAAAACACTTCACTTAAAATCATAAAGAATGTTGAATGACTTAAAAGTCACAAGAAAATAATTATAAAAAGAAAAAAAAATTATAAACAAACAACTATTTTAAGACCACGTAATTCAAACGGCAGGAAGGGTTAAAAGTATTGAATTTACCTTAAAATAATGAAATTACATGACACCATGAATATATATATATATATATATATATATATATATATATATATATAGAGAGAGAGAGAGAGAGAGAGAGAGAGAGAGAGGGGGCAATCCCACTACACTTGCATGAACCTCTTCTCCCTCTTACACCATGGCTCCAAAAACCTGGGAAATTCTCTCTGAAACTAAACGCATAATAGATGCTCAACCTCGTCACTACCTCACTCTCTCCCTAATTTTTCTCTTACCTCCCTCTTTCGTCTCTCTTCTCTTCAACTTCCTTGTCAAATACCTTCAACAACAACCACCACCACCACCACCCACCTACCACACCATCTTAATCTTCTCCATAGTTTCTATCCTCTTGCTCCTCATCTTTTCCATCTTTACCTTATGTGCCTTCATCTCCATCACTTACAGCGTCTACCACTCTTATTTTAATCAACCCGTCAAACTCAAAGAAGCCATCAAATCCATCTCCACTTCCTTCTTCCCTCTCCTCGCCACAGACATCATCTTCTTCACCATCTTCTTCATCGTCTTTCTTCTATTTGCACTTCTCGTTGGAGCTGTCTCGTTTCTCCTTACTTATCTAGCCGGTGTTGACCTCCAATTTCACTCTTTCTTGGTTAATGT